CCATCGTTAACCATTTTCCTTCATCCCATAGGCCCTGAAATGATCATTTTTGGTCGAGAGGGCTCTAATCCAAAAAAAAACCTTAGACGTAGGTTTTACCGGCGCAGCTGCGACGAGCGACCGACGATGGTAAATACAAGACCGTGTCTTTCATTGTGTCGCGGAAATATTATAGGTTTGGGGTACATTTTTAGTTGAGGTAAATGTGGCGTTGGCCAGTTGGGTTCGCAAATATTATACTATCGTGAGCCTTCTAAGCTGCCACCCTTCTGCATCATCGTTTTATATGCAGGACATGTGCAAGGTTTCGTAGATTGATTTGCCTGAAATGAAACCGGACATTTGAATTGGTTGCTGTTACTCAATTTCTTGCTTACTCCACACCAGCTTTGTAAACATTTGTGTCCAAAAGTATGTAAGCTATTACTGGCAATATGGTGTTGCTCAGCCATCTAATAGTGACATTGGTTCGGACTTCCAGAAGCAGATTTGTTAAGCATAAACATTCAGAATGTTTAAGAAGATAAAGAAGAAACCATTGAGAGAGCGGCCAGCATCATCTGACAGTGAAGGGGCAGTGTCAGAAGATGAAGAAGCTGTGTCCATTGAGTATGATAGTATTTCTGGAACATGTTGTATGGCTTCTGTGCTGAGAGTGCTCTATTTGATAACTGATAGGATGCTAGGATTTAATTTGTTAGTGTTAACTGTTCAAATGAGTTGCAGTGCATTTACTTAATTTTCAGCCAGTTTATGTTTTGTGTCCATTATGAATTATATGGACAGCACAGAAGAGGCTTAGGTATCTGTGCATTGATTGCATTGCTCGCATTTAGCAGAGAAAACATTACACATGCTTAACCTTAGACTGCTGACATATATGCATTTAATTTGCATCATTGCTTTGATTAACACTCAACATCTTTACCATTTTGGTGTTGTTGTTTATTGGTGTTTTCGGGCACGCCAACAGCAGACATCTTTTTCCACTTCAGAGCCAAACTAGAAGAGGCCAAGGAGATTCAGAAGCTACGCAGGAGGGCTCATGGAATTGATGTGGAAACACTTGCTAAGGGAGAAATAAAGAAGGAAACAAAGAAGCAGGTAACTTTTCTGGGTCCATGGTGCAAAATATTGCCTTGTAGCCAAGGGTTTATCAGTTAAAAATGTTTTGTTTATAGTATCCAGCTATGATATTTATCTGACCATGTTTGAAGCCAGGCAATTTATCTGCAGCATTTATAACATGTGTCGGCATCGAATGAGTTAGGATGAAGTCATGCATCATTCTCAACAGTTCATCTTGTTCAAATAATTTAAGCCTGATCAATAGTGTCAAAATTGGTCACATGTCTTGAGGTCTAGTTGTATTGCAAGCACAAAGCAGCATGAGCTATTGCCACCTCTGAATGAGTGTGTAATCCAAAGTAATGCACCTGACACTGAGAAAGGCAGCTGAGACAAACATGCAGGGCAGAGGATGTTTAAGTATTGGCCCATTACTGTAATACAGTATTTTGTCACAAAGATGAATATGATCAGATCCCATGAATATGACAAGCACCACCATTGATTGAATGTTTTTAGTGCAATTCAGTGCCACCCAGTACATCCTAAGTCTGGGAGTCTGAGGTATCTTCTCTGTTACATACATTACATTCTTTTTTGTTGTTTTCTTCCCTGGCTGGACAAGGCACCCTTTGAGGCTTTAGAGGTCCTTATAACAACCATGATGTTACATGAGTGAATTATTGAACCATCAAACCAATTGCATTGGAGCTGCTGGGAAGTTGGCAACATCTTTAACCTTATCTGATGATTTGAAGGTCATTCTCATGGTGTATCATGAAGGACGCTGCTGTGTTGACATGTTAGTGCTTGCTTTATGTAATCTCACTGCATTGCATTTTGATAACAGAAAGCAAATCAGAAAGCTCAAGGCTTTATATGGTGTATTTTATAACAGCTGTAGATAAGTGGACACATTTACCCAACATGTGGCTGACAGGACAATGAAAAAGAGGTTGTCACCTGTTTGCCAACCATGGTAGGCTCTTAAGATTGCCAAAAAGGTGTAAAACTTGGAAACCCAGGTGTTGAATTTATAGCACCATGCTTAGTAGCTACAAACCTCCGGAGAAACTGCAGGGGACCTCTGGGGCCCCTTGCACAGGTGGGGTTGAAATAGGTTCGGTCTGTTCTTACTAGTTGACAGGGATGGACTTGGCTGAGTCTGTCGGGCGGTACGTTCCAATTATTTGCCACCCCATCATTTATTTGCCTCCGTCTTAAATTCCTCGACATTAAGGGGAGTGTTCCACTTTGTATGTGGCTTGTAGCTGGAATAGCAATCTTGAAGATCATTCGGCATAGTTAAATACTCAGCCCTTCTTTAAGCACTAAAACTCCAGTTTCCGAGGCATACGCCAGGGAAGATGTGCAGACTATTTGGGGGGGGGGGGATTATTTCAAGGTTACCCGGGCTTCCATGACATAATAACGTCATTCAGATCCTGTTGTTCCATTGGCCATGCGGCGTTCAAGGCAAGTGAAAATATGATTGTGGAGTCGCTGGTATCTGGCGTTCGTGGGCACGATTGCCAGAAAAAAACGGCCGTTAGCTGACTCTGAATCGTTGTTGTGCACGTTATGCAAGGTTCTAGCACCAATCACGTTTTGTACTTCATACTATAAGACTTAATGGATTTTTCCTAGTTCTTACGTAAATAAGATTTGGGATCGAAAAACTTGAAAAAGTGCTATAACTGAGAATGTGAGTACAAGTAAGTACCTTAAACTCACGCATAGTTTTACAACAAAAAAAACACGAGGAAGGACCAAAATACTAGTGCCTGATGATATTTGGTTTAGTACATATCGGGCACCGCCGCGGCCACCTCTCGGGGGATCGAAGAACTACAAGTGAGTGCTATCGCACAAACGTTTTATCACGCAATCAAGCAATGACATCTTGGTCATATTTACTAAATGCATAAATTGTGTTATCTAGAGCAGTTTATTCCACCTAAAAGCATACCAGTGGTAAGTGAGCTTATTTCATCATAGCTGAGTATAGCTGAGCATAGCATTATAGCATAGCATCATTGCTTCATTTGGTTCATGTGTGTGGAACATTTCTTCAACATTCTTGTGACAATGCAATGCCGTAAAGGGCGCGTTACGGTTCAGGCAATTCAGAGTCGAAGTAGGTGAAATATATGCATGCAATCATCAATGGATTTTGTTTGATCCGTGTAATCTAATTCCAGGCGTCAAATGTCCCATTGCCTCATGTTTTGTGCACGTTGGCGGCTAGTATCCAAGATCTGCCGCGCGTTAGCACTTCGTACTTTTGGCATTACCTTTATGGTCCGATTTGGCATCATTTGACATTGATAAAAGCGGATGACGGAGGTTACGTGTACCGATGGGCCCCTGCAGACAAATAACGCTATGAGCCAATGGCTGAAAACAGCTCCTTTTGTCTCACATGCTTGCTCCTGGTCTATGATATAAAACGTGAAGAGAAATTCATTATTTTGCACTTTTACCAGGCTTGGCCCAGCGAAGCCCATTGGGGATTATATTGACATCCGATGCAGTATATGCGACCTGTCTGTAAATGTGTTCCACGTGACCCTAGCACATCATGTTTCTGAGATAGCATGGAGCCTGCGGACCCTGTTGTCCGATAAAGGTGAGAACAACTCTCGCGCGGCATTGGCCGATTTATACCAGCCGCTGTACGTTCGGTGTGTGTTTTCTGGGCAGAATGATCCCTTCAAGAAGAACACCGGTGGTATGCTGGATTTGGCTGAGATAAAGAAGGGCGGCGACGACACTGATGACGCCTACGACACAGGCATCGGCACGACGTTCTCAGCGGAAACCAACAAACGCGACGAAGACGCCGAAATGTGAGCCAACGCGCCGTAGCAGCTGAATGGAGGGTATATTTCACTAGCGTCATCGTTGCGTTATCGTCTGTGGGGACGCGACGCGGTGAGTTGTAATACTCATTTCAGTTCGCATCGAGATGTATGGATAGCCAAGCTTGTAAGTGTATGGATGATTTAGTGCCGCCCGTCACGACTCTGTGCAATCATGGCACCAATTGCGTGTCTGATGCGATTGAGTCCGATCGTGTTTGCCTATCATTTATAGTTTTTCTCCACTGTGACTTTGTTTCAGGCAAAAGTATATTGAGGCAGAACTTGCGAAACGTCGTGGAGTCCAGGAAAACGAGGATGATCAGCAGAATATGTACATGACACCGGAACAAGTTGCACTCATGGTAAGGGTGGAATGTATCTGCGTGTTGCTAAATCCCCGATTGTAACTGTCAAAGGATAGAAGGCTCGATGTTTTCAGTTTGGTTTATTGCATATTGTTTTGTCGTCGGAGCTGTCTGACTCGTCACGTATTACTTGCACCGCATTAATCGTATTGCTTGATGAGATAAATTCCTTTTGCTCTACTGTTGCATTTTTGTGACAAGAGACGGATTGTAATTGTAACTATCTGACCAATGATGACAAAACTGTCTGACTTATCCGGAATGTAGTACTGAAGCGATGATAACTGAATAGTTTTACTTGGAAAAAACGTGACGTCGCCTATCAATGGTTGTGATAAGTAATAGTAGAATAGAGTAGTAGCAATAGTAGATCATACCTGCATTTCACCAAGTTTGGCAGAGACACTTCATGTGATAGAAGCTGCTGTCTGCTAACAAATTATTCTGGGCATCCATAGTCTCACCAGGATCATTTACCTTATTCCTCCGAAATCACAGCTATGTGTGTCATATCGATACACCTCAAGTGTAGAGCATCCAACAAATGCAGTTTGAAACTGCTGGTTTTGTGAAATAGTTTATCACACCATTTATGTTCACGTTCATTCTAACCAGGTAAGATTGTGATAGCCAGTGATACAATGAGGCTCAGTAAATAACGGTGAGTGTCAGACTGTGCCCGGCGCGCGCCTGATCCGCTTGAGCCTAATTGCAAGTCAACCAGTCGTCAACTGACGAGTAAAGAATTTTAAGGTCCATACATGTTGCCAGCGACGCTGGATTTACGTACTCACAGGGTAAGCTGCTTGTCCTAACATCATTACAGCACTGGCTTTTCTTTGCCCAACACGTGTCTCTTAATGCAGACCAGGTGGAGATATATTACAGCGAGCAGTGTAGTTAACTCTCATGTATTGTCTCACGCCACGTCTCAAGCATTTGCTTGGCGTTTCAGGCTGTACCAGAACATTTGAGAAAGAGCTCAAACAAGAAGTCTGAAGAGATGCTCTCTAATCAGATGCTTAGCGGTATTCCAGAAGTGGACTTGGGCATAGAGTAAGTCTGGATTCTGGGCATCGTAACCAATAACATCACGTGAGGTCGTAAGACATCCCAGAGCATCCTATCATTCATGATGCTGAACCTAGGTGTGTTGTTTTTCATGGTATTTGAGCCACGCGGACTTCGACAAGTGTCCAATGCAGGGTTAATGTGCAGTGCTAGGCTGCCAGGCTGTCGTGGTTCACAGTTTTTATTTACCGTTAGCAATGCCTTTAATGCCCCGTTGTCGTTTTTCGCTTTCGAACACAATGAGTGAATGGCGGCGATCTTAAATTTTTCAGCCCTTCTCAACACGTGTTGGGAACATCTTACCTAAAAAAACAGATATGTGCCATCCCAAGAAATTGTACTGCCAGTATTCACAAACCGTTTGCCGACGTTGTTAAGCAATCCAGCATCTGTTGAATGTTGTGTTCTGTTCCCCAGCCGTTTCCATCTTCACGGATGTTGAGGATAGCAGCCGGTTTTTTTTTTTTGCTTCCAGAAGTTTCGAGCCCATTACCGTCAACATTAAATTTCAGAATACCTGGGGCCACGTTGCGATAACAGCACAAATGGAGCTCCGGTAGCAAAGTTAGGTTTCAAGGATGTGTTGGTGTAAACGGTACGAGGTCCTCGGCGTGATCATGAGTCACCGTTATGTCAAAGCCATGGTAGGACTTGATCTGAGATGACGTTACTTCACGCCAATATGACGACACGCAATGATACCACGTGAGCGCTTTTGAGTTTCAGAGCTCGTTTAATGTGCACCTATGATGACTTGTCCCCGCAGCCTTTCTTTGGGTCATACTGGGTTTATGTATTCATGGAGGGTCAATTCAATTTTCGGACCAGCGTGTGCGGCGCCAGTTTAATTGCAATTAAGTGATTTACACAATATATTCCCTATGTAATAAAGGTTTTTGAACTGCTCGCTGAAGTTGAACTATAAGTCCTGTTTTGTGTTCTTATTAAACCCAAAATTACCACTGACTTACGAAAGGATCTGCTGGTGCACATGCATCTTCTGAGACAAGCGCTGGTGTGAACGGCATGAAGGAGGCACACGCAAGGTGTCGATTAACATCCATCCAAATATTTTGATATGACATGTTCTGATGTGTTACTGAACCCGTACAATGCTGTAAGCAGTCATCTAACATGAAGCAGACACCCTGGCTTACCAATGCCTTGCAATGGAATCGTATCACTGGCGTGAAGTTAAATGTATATGCAGTTAAGATCTAAAGGTCGTCTCACATGACTTACCATGTGGCGTCATCAATGACCTAAATGTAAGAATTGGCATGTGCAGGTCTGCATCGTTGCGGTAAAGATGCGGGACGTCTCTCGCCAGTTGAACCAGCCCAGTCGGTTGGTTAATTCCGGGGTGCTGCGGGAGGGCGTTAGATACGGTGTTGGCAAGATGAAGTCGACGTAGTACAAATACACCGGCTGCAACCGCTTGGGTAACTCACTGGTGCCTGCTGTCCCATTGTGGTAGCTTTATTTGTGTACTTTGTGTTGCAGTGCCAAGCTGAAGAATATTGAGGCTACGGAAGCTGCCAAAATGAAGCTAATTGCTGACCAGCTGAATAAGAGTGATGGTCCATCACACTTCGTGCCAACGAATATGGCTGTCAACTTCGTTCAGCATAACAGATGTAAGCTCAGCTGCAGCCGCTTCTGAGTACGGGAAAGACTTCTCCCAACAAGTGCTTCTTTTGCGACTCACAACACGCTCGGCTTGTACCGTTATCCTGACTTAAATGTGCGTGTCGTTAACACGGACCTGTTATCATAGGTTGACGGCTGAATCCCCCGTGGTCTTTCTTGTTAAATTGGGACAATTTGGCCTTGTGGCGACTCGGAACTACCAGTTGCACCCAGCGGTGTTTTGATGAGATGATGTACCGCCAATTCCATCAGACGTGGACCGCAGGCTGGTTCGTTGACGGCGGTTGTCCACCGAACGGGCGTGATGAACCGAGGGCCTCGCCTGGCGTAAACATATCAGCCCTCCGGCACCTCTGCCGTCTCGCGACCGAGGACCGCCCTGTGTGTATGTCCATTCCGTCGCCCGCCCGCAGTCAGCATCAAAGAGCCGGCCAAGCCCAAGAAGCCGGAGCCCAAGCCGGAGCCCAAGCCGGTGCTGGTCGTCGGAGGCGTCAGGGAGGAGGACACGACCGAGGGCAAGCGGAAACAGGGCCAGGCTAGCGACGACTACCTCTTCAACAAGTTCAAGAAGCAGTTCAAGCGGTGACCCGCGTGAAGTGCACGTTGGGTGAATTTTGACGTCCACACACATTGTGGACGCCGACACTTCATTTGCACACATGGTGTCATCGCGATAAAACAGCGTATGTTGCTGGGGATGCAGAGCCGCAACCTGTGTGCGTTCATTGGACTGGTGACCATGCTTGTGAATGATTGTGAGTTCCGTGTCTTCATCACAGCGCCATGTTGGTTGATGATTACGTTGTGTTATTTAATTCCCCCATGCGCATAACGCCATCGAAATGTGCAGACAACCTCTCAGTTAGGTTTCATGGATGGAACGTGTGCTCGGTGTTGCGTTTGTGCAAGCCCGTTAATGCCCTTTTTACTGCTTCTGGAAAATACTCTGAGGCGGACTGCTTTTGGGGAACGACTAAAAATGTGCAGGCCTTGTCCACTTCAATATACAATTGGTTAAGATTTTGGTGTTTTCCGCATGTTGCTTTGGTCTGATTTTAATGCCTGTACCCAGGAAGCCAGCATGTGTGACGTCCTCATTACAACGTAGTGCGGGGCGATCGTGTTCTAGTGACCAGGGCGCCCAACTCTGGACTTGTCGTTCATGGACTCGGGCCCCTGTCACGCCACCACCGCCCCGCACAATCTTGTTATAGGGAAATTAGCTGCGACACGAAAGAAACAAGTGGTGAACAACGCTTACCAGATTTAGGCGACGGTCGGAGTAACGCTTCTCCTTATGATTACGCAAGGCTTCGCCGCCGGCGTAAAACTAAGCTGCAAAGGCCTATGTTTTAACGTAGTGCCCCGCATCGCTGCCTGAGTGAGGCAACTGGCGGACGAAGTTATTATAGTGGGTCTGATGAACGGGTGATTGGGGTTCGGCTTTCCTGAGCGTGACGCTCGCGTCTCGTGACCCACCGTCACCTTGTGATCACGGCCACGTCCCTCCTATCGACTGTCTCGTCCGTAGTCCACGGGCCGCACACTATTATATGTTTCACCAAACCTGTACAAGTGATGCATAGCTGGACCAAGTAGTCTGTTCACCCTAGCCGTATGACTGCGAAGGGTGCGCGCTTTTAGTCCTCTCGACGGACGCCACGTCACTTTTTTGGGGGCGGGGCCCAACACTAACATCCTGTTGCACCTAAGATGGTTGCGACTTATTGATATTTTGTATTTTATATTTTTGTTTTATTTTTATTTTTATTTTGAAATATTTCCGAGTACCACCTCGACCTGAAATCCTGCCACACACTCCTTGGCGCTGCGTGAATAATGGAACCAAGGAAACAAGGCACGGGTCAACCGCAACAACCAGGGAACGATGAGTTTTAAAAATGTGTCGATCCAAGTCGCATAGCTTTGTTCAGTTCTTACTCGACCCCACGTGTCACGAAAGCCAAGCGTGAAAGACTGCATGGTTTTAACGCTTTATTTCACCAGTACTTGGACGGAGGTAATCACATCTATCCGTAGAGATAGGCGTTTCATCATATTGTGCATCGCCAGAAGACACATGCGAGACCAAAAACAACAACGAGAGGTGACAGGAACGCGCAGCAGTGACCAGCTGGTTGTACAGCCGACCACTTCGTTCGACATCCTTCGACGCCGCCAGCTCGTCCCTGTGCATGAGCCGATCACGGGCGCTCGGTGCGCACCAAAGGTTTGCCACTTACAAACGAATTTGGACGCGAGAACCCATTCAAACAGAAGCGCCTCACGCTAGAGAAACCACTCTGAAATATCCCTAGTAACATGACCAGCACGAGTGTAGAACATACCTAGAAAGATGGCTGAAGGAATGTACACCCAACCCCCCCCCCCCCCAACCCCCCAAAACCACCAGCAGTACTTCGCGGGCGGGTACGTTCGAAAGCGCACGCCATGTGGTACAGTGATCAAACGAGGTCGGAGACACGATCACTTGAGCCATTCATAGAATGCAATAGACCCAATAAAAAATATCGTTATGTAGGCACACTGTTCCGCGGCGGCTGTCACACGCCACGCCCCTTGCAGCGATCCACTATGAGCACAGCTCGCCGGGGACCCCGTGCTTACAACAAAACCGCCAGCCCGCCCGAACGGCAAAATGCCGGGGATCGCACGGTGCGCTGTCCGACGTTCGCCACGACAATGTTGTCATGGACCGACAAGCCCGTCTCAGCTGGTCACTTTGGTCATTTGTACGGCGAGCACGACCGGGGGCGTGCAGCAGCGAATGTTTGCGGTTCAGCCCAGCGCATTGCACCCGGGGGGCAGCTGGGAAGGAGTCGCCGCCAGGGCGCACGGACCGTCGCGGCATCCGCACGCGGTCGGACCGCACCAGCGGCCGCCCAGTCCGCACGGACCACCGGCGGCCGCAGCAGAGATGGCGTTCGAAGCGCCCTCGCACCGTCTGAGCCTTGGGCCGTGCCCGTGTACCACACTGTACAAGAGGCGGTCAACGCGTTCGGTTGGCTACTGTAATGCGAATACTGCCCGGATAGTCGGCCGTCGGGACTCCCGGATCAATTTCGCCGGGGCAAACAGTCTTCCCTTTCCTTATCGGACATGTTTGCAGCATGAGACTAGTGGCAGTCAACTCTGAACGGCTAAGATGCGAGATAGCTTCCCCACTCTGAATTATCGCGATGTATCCGTGAAATTAACTCAACACACGCCTTAAATGAGATCGGCCGTGATGGCTTCACTTATTACCCAGTGGGCATGCCAAGCTGTAGCTCTGGATCCAGCATAGCCCTTCCCATACGTGGCCACGCCACAATGCAGAGTCGGATCGGCGCACATCACCTGACTAGCACCGATATCAGCTGACTGGAATATGACTAGACGCGTTTGACTGGAGTCTGACTAGACGCTGTTGACTGGAGTCTGACTAGACGCGGCTCACCCACTGGACCGCGGCCTCAGAGGGCCTCACCGACGCAGCGTAGAGCCTGCTGCCGGGGGGCGTGGTCGGCGGCTGGCGCGGCCCGCCCGCCGGCCGGCGTGCGGCCTCCCTACTGGTGCGTGAGCGGTGTGGAGGGCAGCGACGTCACGCGCACATCGTCCGGCATCGGCGCCGTCTTCGTGTAGCGCTTGAAGAAGCGGTTCCGCCGCTTCGTACCTTCGATTCCTGCCGACACAAGGCATGCACACGTGAACGCGGACGCTTCTCAGGTCACTACCAGCAGAGACTGCAATAAACTGATGGGAGGGCACATGGGCGCGCGCCCCATGGTGCGAGCACATCCGTAAGTGGTGATACAATTTCCCGTAAAGTTGACGCTTCGCGCCGGTAAGCTGGGATCATTCTAAGAAGATGGCCTTGGACCCCAGGCTGGTCAGACAGGACATGCCTCTGACTGGACGTGGGCCGGCAGCCACCCGGTCATGGACTCACCATTCAGCTGTGTCGAGCGTTGGGAGGCGCTGGACGAGGTGAGAACGTCCGAGTCACTCTCCTTTGTGCTGCCCTGGCCAGAGTCTTTCTCTAGCGCCGGCGACTCGGGAATCGGCTGAGAACAGGCGCTCTGGTAAATAACGTAACAACACGAGACCAATTGTGGCGCAGAATAAAGGCCGTGATACCAACCAAACTGACGGGGCAAAGTAACCAATCTTTAGTACAAAATGACGCATTCGCATATTTTGTATTCAAGTCAGAACAGAAAGAAAAAACTGGGCCCATATACACTAATTCAATAGAAGACACCAGTAAGTTTGGGCACACCCTCACGTCCATCCCTACAAGAACACCAGGCTTCCGTCCCAAATCTGTCCACAAAATGGAACGACTCCGCTGGAGACGCGAAAGGCGATAATAGCACTCCTCACTTCGGCCATAGTATTGGCTGTCATACCTCAAACTAAAACTTAAGCCAACGTCGTCCATCTCTTCCATCCCCCATACCGTTGCACACATGAGACGCTATGCTCCCACAGGACCCCATCCTACCGCGCACCCGCCGCCGTACCTGGCGGCTGGAGCGCCCGTCCTGGCCGTTGTCGGCGGCGGGCCGGGGGTCGGGCGCCTCGCCGCCGCCGCCGTCGTCGGCCGTTCGCCCGCGCTCGCGCACCAGCCGGCCCATCTCGGTGCGCGTGAACACTTCCTCGATCTGCGCCTCCAGCTCCGGATTGAGCGGGGTGTCGGGGGACGACGCGGCCGTCGACGCAGGCGGCGACGGCTCCGTCGAAGCGGGGCGCGAGCCGGGCGGCGACGGCGGCCCGACCAGCGGCGAGGCCGCCTCCGCCGCCGCCGGCTCCTCGCCGTCGGCCTCCACCGGCGCCTGCTCCGGCGGCACGGCGGACGGGGCTGACACCGATATCGGCTCCTCCCCCATCACCTGGCGGCGGCACGGACGGCACGCTGCTGACGCTGGTCACACGACACCGGCGGGTTCATCGGGGCGAGCGGCAACGGTGGGGCGCAGCAGCGTTACGGCCGTTTTCTCGCCTACAAATACACGAAAACGGTACGCTCGCGCACAGATGGATCGAAAACAATCGGTTGGATACAGACCGACGTAATACAAGGCTCTTAGGAGGCGCTACATCACCGTCTAAAAATATCAACTTTTGTTAATGACTTAGTCTACGCAAGCGGGGTGACAAATAACCAAAAAAATCTGCACCTGTCATCTTCATCAAACAACTTTGCATGAAACGTACATGAAAATGTCACTTTAAGATCCTACATATAATACTAAGTGCGCACAACGTAATTTGCTATTATTGTGTAACAAGACACTCAAAACAACCAAGTCAGCCTCAAATAAGCTACGGTAGGCTTAAGGCTCGTGCACACCATGCCCGTGAGTTTGTTGTCGGTGCTCAGCCAGCACAAATGAGCTGCGACGGCCCATCACTGACCTCTCACCCAGCAGGGGTCAGCCGGCCACTGGCTCTCAACCACACCAGCCACCAGTCCCCAGTCGGCACCGGTCAGCCAGTCACCAGTCCCTAGCCAGCACCAGTCCAGTCAGCCACCGGTCCCCAGCCGGCACCAGTCACCCAATCAGCAGTCCCCAGCCAGCACTAGTCACCAGTCCCCAGCCGGCACCGGTAAGCCAGTCACCAGTCCGCAGCCAGCACTGGTCAGCCAGTCACCAGTCCCCAGCCAGCACCGGTCAGCCAGTGGCGGTGAGTCGGCCTCTCACCGTGTCGGCGGTGGCGGCCGCCTCCCGGCTGCGGCGCACGCGCTCGTCACGCGCTCGCCGCTGCCGCTCCAGGTCAGCGGCCCGCACGGCCAGGTCGGCCGCCACGCGGCTCTCCAAGCTGGCGTGGTTCTCGATTACGTAGTCCGTCAGCCAGCTGGGGACAGGCGAAGCGTAAGGCCACGCTCGGGTCTGCGTCAGCTGGGCGGAGCTGCACATGCTGACTTGCAGCGTACACACAGCGGCAACCCCGGTGTGAAGGGACTGGCACTAACACGTGCTTAGTTTTTCGGAGATATTTTCATCATCAAACGTGAAAAATGTTCCATGAGTCGAGCACTAGTATTGGCCGCCCTATTCTGGCATCCCCGGCCGCTGTTGGTGGCCGCATCCCACAGGCGGCCAGCAATGAATGCGAGGGTCGGCAATGAATGCAACCGTCGCAGCCTTCAGCTCATCGATCACCACAACCTGTCCGCACTTGGAGGCTGGTACCGCCAGCTCACTTGAAGCCGGTGGCCACGGCCAGGTGGCGTTTCTTGCCGGCGTGGCTGGCCAGCCGGGCCGAGCACAGCTCGATGCGCATCGGGCAGCAATGCTGATTGGCGACCAGCTCCAGCTGCAGCCGCTCGTTCAGCTCCACCTCGTCCAACGCCGACGGCACGTCCTGCTTGTTGGCCAGCCTGCCGGAGACAGAAGGACACAGTGAGCTGCTGAAGGAGACGGCGAGCCAGAGCGAGCTTCGGACGTGGAAAAGCTGCCGCTGGCTCCCGACGGAAGCTGACAGTTAGAGCAGGCCCCGCATGGATACCCAGGGTCGGCAATGAATGCAAAGGGAGACGGGAAATGACTACGGGCTGCGTCATGCAGCAAGGGGCTGTCAGTGTAATATGCTTCGACTGTTACCTCACAGCAGACAGTAAGCACATTGGTTGAAAATGTGGTAGACAAATGTTACAGTGAAGACACCAACTATAAGGTTTCACGCTCACTTATTTCTCCCAATATCTAAGCAAAACGGAACAAGTTTCTCTCACATGTAGTCACCAAACCGCGAATAACGTCGCGTGATGAATAACAAATATTGCCAGTGGTAAAAAGTACATATTGCCACTTTCATATCACTTGACGTAGACAAAATAAGTCATTCAGACAACGCGGGCGCTCCTAGCACGCGCTAAATGCTTTTACATATACCTAAATTATATCGTTCGTTCCAGTGCAACTCCATGCTCATCAGCATCACTCCTGGGTGACCACAACACTTCTAATTTCTGCTGCCATTGGGCACACTGTCTCAGCAGACTGCACCACCCGTCGGCTACTGGCGACAGTCCATATCACAGTCGTGCGCCGCCTCCCAATTACAGTCTCGGCGTAGTCTGCGCTGCTTCCTGCGCTTCCTGGTGGGACTGGGCACGGTGCGGATGTGCACGTGGTGGGCGCGGGGTGCGGTTGGACACCACCTCCGCCTGCTTCGGCGCCTCCTTAGTGGGCTGCCGGTCTAACCGGGTGCACAGCTGCTCCTGCATGCTCTTCACCACGCGCTGCGAGGCGCTGTGGCGACGCGAGCCGACCACCTCGAGCGAGCGCGATCCACGCACGCCCGAGGCGAGGAGTCGTGCCCGGCAGGCCGGCGCTGCAGCCGCTCGCTCCGGCAGCGGCTCTGGGGCCGCGCAGCCGGTCAAGGCCACCGGCACAGGCGGGCTCGGCATCGGGCCCGGCGGCGCCAGTGTCGCGGAGGAGCGGCGCAGCCGGGACGACCGCGAACCGCTCGGTCGCGGCAGCGGCCCGATTAGCGAGAAGCTGGCGATCGGGTCGGGGCTCAGGTCGGCCGGGATCGGGTCGAGAGTGTCCGGCGGCGGCGCGCCAAGAGTCTTCAGGCAAGAGCACGTGCCGTCAACGCACTGGGTGAACATGCAGCAGAGCCAGCCGATCACGCCACATATGCACCCACTGATAAACTGAACAGTGCCCGAGACAAGCTGGCACCATAACGTCATCGACATCGTCGCAATACAGCAGCCTCCACCAACAAGAGCATTAAACGAAAAACACAAAATGGAAATGCCTACACAGACTCCTATGCAAACGCTATACACTGATACCCAAATTAGTTCGCATATCCAGCTCACAATTCCAATGATGGCAGAGAAGGCAAGTGGGATGCAGATGAATATGAAGCAACGCAACGATACATAAACAACAATGACAATGAATTCCGTGCTACGAATGGACGCTATTACAATAAATTTGATAGTTCTGTAGCTGCAAATCAAGATATTTTTAGCCGCCTCAGCTATGCACCAAATACAAACTTTGGCGCAGATGTAAATGGCCGCTAAAACAGCTGAAGCCGACATAAATAGACAGTACGAGACAGCCGTCAAGCACCACCAAACGCACTGAATGATGAAACTAACTGCACCAGCCAAAGTGAGAAAAATGTCGGACATTCTTGCGCGGTTTCGATTCTAAGCAATTTAAGAGGTATGCTAACTGCGAAAATATTTCACTTCGATTATTGGAGGTAACTCCACGTCGTCAGGAATCCAATTCGTCAAGAGATTCAGAAAACGATCCAAAACCGACGCACCAAGCGTTACATATCGACAATATCGACGAAGTCGAACGTATTTTCAAGACAGCACGTGACGGGCATATTGCCGCGCCTTTTCCAGTACTCGGCGAGCCGTGTTATATCCTAGTCGGGCATACTTCACGGGAAACGTGCAGCTTCAGAAAGACTAAACCAAATGTGGAGTAAATCCTTACCCAGAAATATGTGGCCGATAAATGACCAATAAAGCCCTATCTGACGCAAAATAATAGCAAAATTTCATTCCTGCAATGGAAGCTTCGTCCTAGTGCACCTTGTGCTATGCAATGAACACTGCGCCGCAATGCGGGGAAACCGCGGGTACATTGCTTTCCTATGCATAATCATATTTTCAATCTGTACCTATATATTAAGTGCAAGGTAAGCTTGCAATATCGTTGGTCGTCGCAATACCAGCGTAATGACCGCTAACAATACCGACGGTCCAAAGGAATCTCATAGCAGACTAAACAAGCAGAGGTACATAATGAACACGGGATTTGGTCAGAGGCAGATGTTTCGGAACGAGACATGAAAATATGGGTAACGTAGAGCGATATTCAAACTGGAGTTTTAGAACCTTACCAACAGCCCGATGGCGGCTTATATCGGATAAGTATTCGCAAAGAAGACATCAATTCAATCAGCACCTCAGCTGAACACGTCAACTGAAGGCTACTAACAACGCAATAAACCAGCCGCGGAATCAATTGTCCAAGTTTTCATTCAAATGGTGCTGTCTCGACAAGAGTGCATGATTTGTACGATGCGCAAATAAAGATCCGAGTGTTACAGAGGGATTGCTAAAAATATATTTTTCGATGGCAACAGCTAATGGGTCCAATCGAGTAAATCAGAAATCAGACTACCAAGCCATTGTCTGAAGTCAGTTTTAGACTACTAGTTCCCCGTTCCTCATTCGTGTAAAACGCCTTGTGGCAAACAATTTGGAAAACAATAAACATGCTCAATAGCGCACAAGTTTGCACTTTTTGCCGAACAATTCTTGGAATACAGATAATAAACACAGTACATTTACACCACATCAAACCAAGCCTTTTAAAACCGCGCCACCAAAAATGTGCGACACGAGCGCCATAATGTTCTTCACGAGGCCGCAGCAGAGCCCAATCGCCAGCGCCGCGGTGCGGCAAAACACGGAAACAATCACACATGCCGTCAAGCCCACCACGCAGACGAACACGCACACGAGGTGAACGGCGCCGCCCACGATGGAGGATAGGTCGGAGGTCACGTTGGGCACGGCGACAAACAGAGCAAAGTGGATGCCACCAACGACGAGGCGCACTAGCCAGTAGGCAGCATCGGTGCACTGCAGTATAGCCGAGATCGGTGTCTGCACGGCGTAGTACGTCAGCCAGAACGTTGTCCGGCCCAACTCGCCGACTAGAAGTACCACAGTCCCTGTCGTGAACTTGACGAGCGCGATGGTCTGCACCACTGTCTGGTACGCGAAGTTGACTGAAGTCCCCGTCACCCAGATGGCTGGGCACACGACGAATTGCAGTAGACCATACAGAGCTGACAGGAGACGCCCGAAAATTCCTGGCATGCTCCAATGATGACTTCTATCGCAATAGAGCCGCGATCACAGTTTCTGACTCGACGCCTTCGTTCATATTTACTGTGCACAGGCGCGAGCCATTGCTGGTTCATGAAGCGGCGGAACGCGTTCTTGCGTTAAGGTATTCACGGTGCACGGCGGACGGTCACACGCGGTGGAGAACACGGAGGATGATGAACAACATAGGTAATACAAAAATGACAGCATTATACACAAATACAAAATGCTTTTATATCAGTAAAAAGAGTATAATTCCGACGCAAACGGTAAATTTTGAGGGATGTTGCAGCAAGAAAAACCGATGCTCGTGCATGCTGAAAACCGGATCCCGTACTCCACGGTATCAGCGAGGCACATCGACCAAGCAGAAAATTACATAGTTATTCAGAAAAGCAAAGCATTTATACCACACAGGCCAAATTGAACCGTATAACTCAATTAAACTGTGTTCGGGATTTTGTTAGCATGCATGCGAAACATAAAAACAATGGGGACCCAATGGACGTGTTGCTGCCCCGCGAATCCTTTATTTACATATTGGCATGCATGTTGCATGTTATGGTACAGGGATGAAGTAGTCACTCCTCCAAGAACGGGCGCCAGCGCTAAATGAAACGAATATTTATGTCGTATACCACGAGTCAATCCTAACCGCAGGGACAGTAAAACCATCGTAAACCGTAAGCTTCCACATTGGGAAAATCAACAATAACGGAATCTGAAAACAAAATAATTTAACAGCCATGCCATGTAAAAACCCATCCTTTCTGTAAGGATAGGACGGACGAGGGTGATTTCAAATATACACGTCATGAGCATCCCGAAGATTGAAGAGAATAGAACAGAAGGTGGTCCTCAGCAAAACCCTAAATTACAGATATCAGATACTGACGAAATCCAGTGAACCAACTGACAGCATATTTGTCGCATGCACGAAGCCAAACTCTATTATTATGCCTATTTTAGTTAAACTTGCTCATTCACACACGTGTTTGCATTTCCCTTCGTTTTCGCGGATGGGATGGCTACTCACAAAGATGGAAGGCGCAAGACGCTACGCACCGGTGTTGGAAAACTCGACGTTTCCTGGCATAACGTGTACCAGAAGATTCTGTACTCCAGGCTTGTGACTAGGTAAAATGAAATATTTTGTACTCCATCATGATGCAACAAAAAGTTTTCGGAAAAACTCATTGCATTTCCGTTTCGGGACAAAATTAAACCAGAAGTTGCAACAGCTTCAGACTTGCTGCTTCCATCATAAGCTATGTATTGATATCTGCACGAGCACGAATCTTGCCCCTACCAGCCTAAGACGTCCAATAGCAAGCAGCCTGTGTTGCCACCTAGGTATAAGATAAGTCATGTGTGGAAATGTGAAAAATAAGAAGTGTGAATGTTGAATGGAATAGTCTTAGAACAATGCCGGGAAATGAAAAACGAGTGGCAGAATCGAACCGGTCTGTAGATAAGCACAACTCTTGCTTCCCACGCCCTGCGAAGACCAACTCAAACTTGAACATGACTCAACCTACCATCGACGACGAACCGCATTAATTGCCAAGGATGCAATGAACGGTCATAGAAAACCACACAACCAAGCACCCACCACAGACGCCCGCCTACTCACGCGCCGCCACTGTGTCATGGCAATGCAAATAAGAAAATCACTCACAATTCAGCGTCGGAAACGTCTAAGTGAAACTCCAAGTGGTGTGCGTCGTACGCACACCACTTGGAGACGCCTCACCCGGACACCATTTTCAATTTTTGCTTGGATGACGGTAAGACAACGGAAGTGCAACGGCATCTTTTCGCGCTCGTATCAAATACGATCAGGTCACCTTGACGTTGGTGTTCGTGCCTCCCAAGAAAACCAGCTTATGGTGTAGAGCAAGCATAATAATGCCCGAAGCACAATGAAATGAAGAATGCTGCTTAAAACGGTTGAATGTGACCACAAGGTCTTAAAGTTGGCATTGTTCCTCAGACTGTGGGATGACTCAGATGCTCCACATCATTGATGTGCTATTTGAAGGTCAAGCAGACGTTCATCACGTAAGACGACGAAAGCCATCAACAGCATCCTTGTCGACTGATGTCTTCCTTCCAAGCTTAATGAAAACTAACGATGTCCTTAAGCTGATGCTTCATAACGTAGCTCTTTTGATGAAAAATGCAGTCTCTCTGACAGTCGTGTGAACTATTTGTAGCTCGAACAGCTGTAAAAACTACCGCGCTTGAGGCGTAGACAGCCTGTGCACTTCACGCTCTGATCAGGTGCAGTCCTGTAAGTTACATCGCATGAAGAGCACAGGCTTCTTCACGAACCGCGGCTGCAAGGCTCCCGATGCCTTGAACACTGCAAATGGAAGGCTTTGGAGAAACAAACACGGGCGTGGCTTTGAGTATCGAAACGTCTCTTAGGACAGGTTGCATAATACGCTCCTGAAGAAACCTACCCTTTAAGGCAGCCCACGGCTTACGATGTTTGAATATTGGTTAGTCTCTGTTTGTTGGTTTTAGCAACGTTTACGACACTGCCATGCTTACCATGGGACTTGACCTTCGCATTCTCACGCCATCCCGCAGGACCGTAGCTCACGCGACGGTGTTAATGGAATGCTCCACATTTGCATGGGGGTTTGAACTGAAATATACATCTCGGAGATCATTTGGGTGCCGGTAGTGTAGTGGTTAGCGCGTCTGCGTTGGTTACTGCGCGTCTGGGAAACCAGAGGTACGGGGTTCGATTCCCCGCGGTGCCCGCCCTTCCTCCCAGGGTGAGAGGCAGGCGACGCCATAAAGCCTCAGTAGCTGAGTGCGTCGTAAAGCCCCAGTCACGCACGCACGCACGCACGCACGCGCGCACACACACACACACACACACACACACACACACACACACACACTCGGAGATCATTCAGTGCACCTCATAGCCCTGCCCTTCTTAAGATCTAAGCCCCTCTAGTTATTCAGTCTGGTCATCTAGTTAATTAGTCTAGTTAGAGTTAAACGCCCGCGAGGATATGCAGACTTAATCGTGCAGATTATTTCAGGGTCATGCAGGCATCCATGACGCCATTATGCCGTCACTCAAATTCTGTCATCCCTTTGGCCATGCGGCGATTAAAGTCAACAAAAATCTAACTGTTGAGGCATTCATATCTGACACGTTCGTGGGCACGATTTCCAGATGTAGCCGTCACCAACTGGCTCTCAAGCAATGCTATACAAGGTACGATGGCGCAATCAAACGATAATGTAACGAGGAGCATGTTTACAAAAAAAAGAGAAATTGTGTTGTCTGAAGCATTATGTTCCACTGAAAAGTACACCAATACTCATAAGTAAGCTGATTTCTTCACATCTGATGCGTGCTTCAATACCTTCAAATGTGAAACATTCCTCTTAAGTTTGGGCGCCTCAAACAAGGACCGGACACGTCCTGCAAAACCACATCACCAGTCAGGCCCAAAAGCTGGGCCAGAGAAACATGGAGATCTAGAGAGATACATGGAGGTCTCGTCAGTTTCCTTTCACAGGATTGAGCCTTTTACCAGTGGTTACAAGACACTGAGTAGAAGGCGACTTCAAGGGAAGTCACCACCTCCCTCAGATCAAGGCACATTACCACCTATTCGGCTGCACACGCCGGCCGTCTGCCGGCCATCTTATTCAACACTGGGGTGTTGCCCGCGAAGGCTGCCAGGCTAGGGCGCTCAAGCGTAGAGCTTGCATGCATTGGCTGAGCCCCTCATTGCAGTGCTTCCAGCGTATTACGGCCTCTGCTGCCGGCGCCGCCCTGGCAGCCACCCAGGTACGAGCAGCGCCACTCACAGCAGGACGGGCTTGCCGCGTACGCGCTGGTCCTCGAGCAGGGCGTGTAGGGCGGCGCGGCACTCGTCGGCGCGCGCCTCGTCGCTGGCGTCGACCACGAACACGAGGCCGTGGCACTCGGCCAGGTAGTTGCGCCAGATGCCGCGGATGCCGCGGCCGCCGCCCACGTCGAACAGCTCGACCCACCAGCCCCGGCGGCGCAGCTCCAGGCGCGAGAAGCCCAGCGTCGGCGCCGGATCGGCCACCGCCTCTGTCGGCGCGCCGCGCGACGGTCACCACCTGCGCCGTGCAGGCGCACAAGCACTCTCCGCTCTCAGCCGGTGTTTTATATTTGTACTCTGAATTCATGCTGGGTTTGGACCTGCTATCGAAGTGATGGTTTCAACAGGTGTTCACATCAGGCCACTTGGTCACATATGGCAGTGATGACTGCAGAATGATAGCACAAGCTTGTTTTAAGGTCAGCTTACTGGAGATGGTGCACCCCCAGTGTCTTAGTCATATCACTGCTGACCTGGCACATGGTCAGATTTGTTTTTTGGGGGCAATGATGATTATTTGGGCTTTGGGGTGCACCAACTACATTGGTCATATGGCACCCATAACCTACTTCTTATCTAACAGTTGCCTGAAAAAGTGGGGAGATAATGTTACGTTCAATATATGGCATGGAATTGTATGTCTTCAAGATAACTAAAAATGTGACCATCATTTACTGAGTGTTTTTTTGGGGTTAGGTTGGGTGGGTAATGGCCCATATTCTTTTAACTCATGTAATTGGGAATAAATTCATGTGAAATTGTTCTATCTAATGCACACCACCAGGTTCAGGGGGAGAGGTGGGCATGGTACCTATGCTTCCCTAGGCTATGTGCCTGCTTCTGAACATTAAGACAGATCTTTTGACAAAAGGCTGTGCAGCTATAGTCAGTTGTGGTTGTTTAAAAAAGGCTGTCTAATCTAGGCCTAGGTCAATGTCTGTCTAGAACAAAGGAAAAATAGGCCTAAAACCTACATATACAAGGCATGGGAACATAGTCGTGCCTGGATCAATCCTCACAATTCTATTCATCATGCACACTTTGTCAAAACAAACCAGTGCAGTTAAAGTATGTTTCCATTTTCTCACCGCCTACAAGACCTTTGGCCGCAGTAGTCTTTCCTGCATTGTCCAAACCAACTAGCAGCACACGGATCCTCCTGAAAAGATGAGGATGCATCAATTAATGGCAAGAAGTAAGACAAAATGAAAGGGTGTATTACCTATTCATGAAAAAATCAGCCTCACTGCATGCAATGCCACCTACTCTACATTATCATGGCAGTATGTATGATTAGTATGTGGCAAATTTTGGTAGCTGGCTTCATGAATAGCACACCAACAAAGTGTGCCTTTAGAACTATATTTTGTGTGCATAGGACAGCCAGCTGAAATCAGGTGAAGCCCATGGTGTTGTGAGCAGAGGGCTGTGTGAAATACATAATAAAATGTATACTGCAGGGGCCCTTCATCATGGCTGTGCTCAGCACAGGTAAAAGAATGGTAGATCACAGAACCAGGGTTGCTCTGTTGGGACAGCAGAGTCATGGCCATTGTCATAAGTTTTGACAAACATGGATTCCAACCCTGAATGCCATGCCAGCAGCACATTCCAGTAAATATACAACAGTATTATGCAACATAGGTGTTATCTGTTGATACATTATCATATTGCATTTATATAGCAATTAATGTGATTTATCTATATATGCATCATCTTGGTAAGCCTCTGCATTGAAGACAGTTCAACTAAGGAGACCAGAAAATACAAATAAATGTCATGCCTACCAGGCAGTAGGTGGGAAGCTTATTGCTATCATCCAAGGTCTGTTGGTTGATATATACCAACCACACACACACACACACACACACACACATATATATATATATATATATATATATATATATATATATATATAGTTTGGAGAAGTGTGAGAATTATATCTAGCAAATGTGCATCATGCAGACAAAACATTCACAATCATCTCACCTGGCTTCTTGTGGAGTGGGGCTTCGTCTGCTGTAGCAGTGATGGCAAATGACCTGATTTCCCATCATGCAGCATAGTCCTGGACTACTCCATCATGATGGATACCAATGCGAGAAATTCAGACAACGATCTACAATATACGCCAGCCCAACACCCTAGACAAATTCTCGCAAGCACGTTTCCCAAGGCGTCACATCCATAGCCACGATGTACTGGTCTTCGCACACTTTATTTACGCTTGCATAGCGCCAAGACCCTAGAAGTACCGCATGGCGTACTGCACCCAGTTTGTGCACCGAAATCGACGATTGTTTATCATTCCGGAGGCCAATGAGAAACGTGATTGGCCTGAAATCTGTCGAAGTCTACACAACAAGCGACTGTTTTATATTGTATCATTTGAGCCCGTGCACGCACGCCAGGGTGGCCGAGCGGTTAAGGCGCCAGACTTAAGTTCTGGTACTCGTCTGAGTGCGTGGGTTCGAACCCCACTCCTGGCAGTCGCTTTTCCAACGCCCGGGTTGTTTCGTCGTTGGCATCGTGGGATCACTGAATGGGAACCGGGTCGTTTTGCGGTCTGGCAAGCAATTTGACGTGGTTATTGGTGGTATTTAGTCACTCACGTTGTTAGTTGCAGTTGTGAGGAACAATATGCGTAAGGGTGACACGGCAGTAATAGCTTTATGCTTTGAGCAAAAGCCAGCAGGAGAGGAGAGAATGAAGTGCTTTGTCCACTTATAGCGGTAACTAATCGAACGTCATAGGCACACATCTTTCCATACGTGAATTAATGTCATCTTTACCAATCCTAGATATTTTCATAATTGTCCACGAAAAGGTCGCAGGCTACGACCGGTTTGTTTCGGTGACGTCAGTTAAGCGTCTCGTTAAATTGCCAAAACGATACTTTAATGCTAGCACCTGGGTCACGATACTTCGAAATTTCACAAATAGAATCGAGTTTGGGGTCCGGGATGGCAGGTGTCACTGTGCCCGAGCATGTCCGGTTGGGTCCTCAGAGATTAAGCTGGGCCAAGATACCTAGTTGCTTTTTTATACGCTGTTCATGACGCCTACACCTGAGCAGATGTGTTTTTACGATGCACTATGTCAGCATCATTTTGAGAAGAAAATTGTGCGATTAACTGTGGGTACTCTACTGAGTCGAGGTCACACTGGGTCCATGAAATGTGGACTAGGTAAGCACTGACTTGGACAGTTTGTGCCAAAAGTGCTATGCAGGCACACTGCGTTGGTATTGTTAACATTTCAACACCGTTCGCCTTAGCATGAACTTGACATGGCCATGACCTTGACCTTTCGGGGCAGTGACCATATGCGGGATCCGGGCTGCCCTGCCAAAAACTGCAACTGGTATTACACTGTGTGTATGGGGCGGCTTGAGCGCGCTTTGTAACCTTGCTCTTCATTACATCGCATTTGCACTATGATTGTTCTTGCAATGCAATGCAAGACTTTGTGACCCTATTTGATCTGGTACAGGTGTCTCACGGGGTTTTCAAATTTTAGCCTTCTGAAACAGTCCACAGTCAGCCGCACGCATCGACGTAGGAACAAGTCGGGAGGAGGAAAGGGGGCTATGTTCTCCCACCACTCAAGGGGCAGGAATGTTAACGCTCCCTTCCAGTTTTTCAGATGTAATTTGCGATTAGCTTGCTTTTGGACAACCTTAAGCATGTTTGCCGATTCGCCTAGTTTTCCAGCAATTTTGCTCAAACTGCAAGGGACACAACTGCTTAATGTGGTAAATGGCAGCATCTTACCCTGTCATATGCGGCTACCGAAAATATTTAGGAGCAAACGCTAGGCTACCCCGGTCCCAAAGGTTCCATTCTGTCTGGTTATAGTCTTGCTTCCCCTGCATGCCAGCTTATGGTATGTATGTCTACTAAGCATATGTTCATGGAGTTCAAAATGGATATGTCGCAGACGGTTGGCGCAGTCCAGCATGTCAAATAAAAACGAGACTTCTTTAGAGCCGGTGTTTCAAGTAAATTTCGGGAAGTTGCCGCTATTGCACTATAATTGGTTGAAAAATGTAGACACCTTTTAACTGCCACGAGTTCGTTCCGTGGGAAACATTGTCACGTTATTTGCCTGTTTAATATTATTTGTCCGATGCGGCATTTTTAGGCATTTTTTAAAACGTTGGAAGAATATCACGCCTTTCAAGAAAGGTCTAGCTAAACCGAGAATAGATTCAGTACTGACCGAGCTAGTAACCGAGTAGGTGTTGCTCATTGCGCTCTTACCTTATGGGATATTATACATGACTACACTATATACGCTATCTTAAATATCATCATTTGATACTTGCACAACTCCTCATGCAACAAATTGACATGCGAGAGTTGGTGCACCAAGTGCACCAACTCCTCATGTGTCGTCCACGTGGTACCTACCTATTTCAAATGCATAACCTATTTAGAGTAAGTCTTCAATAGGTTGTCGGCAAGTTCGAGTGAGTGCCGGTAGCCAGTGCTGCTGACAACGACGGTCAGGAAGCCCTGAGTTTGCGGAAGACATTTATGAACGGGTTTCAGGGACAGGGGTTTGCCAGGTGCGCTCACCGGGTGGGGGCACAACAATGCAGTACCACGCGCCAGACGTGCCACACCGCGCGTCCAATGCGTTTATCTGGATGGCACGATTCGGCACCTTGTGTCAACTGGTAGACGGTGACAAACGGCAAGTTTGTTAGTCCCACACTAGTAAAACTTTGAAGAAGGAAGTTTTCGCCTTCCATTATGAAATGCTGCTTGTGTTAAGCCAGGAAAACATGCGTTTTTGTAATGCATTAGCCTGTTCTTATGTTAGTCGAAACGAGTTGCATAGATAGCTATTTTATGCATTTCAAATGATACTAATGCTCATGGAATAGTCACTAGCCTGGTGGACATCGCCACATTTGACCTAGGGTATGTCATGTTAGGTTTAAGGGATCAGGGCTATCGTTGCATTAGCCTGTACGGTTATATTAAAAACTAAACAAGTCACGTCAATGAGAAAACCGCGTTAAAAACATTTAAAAGTGGAACATTGCACCATATGCAGCCGAGAATTTTGGGAAACAAAATCCTCATATTTTGTTATTGTTTCAACTTGCGCAAGAATGGGTATGTATGGTTGTCGAAGGCCAGCGGCCAGCTGTGGCAACGAAAACAAATACCGAGAAACGTTTTCCGTGATAAAGCCTGATAAAATTTGCATAGGGCATATTGGAAGTGTTTCTGGCAGCATGTCATTCATAAACCATCAATGTGATCAAATTAAATCCCAATGTCATTGAAATCGCAAAAAAACAAGAAACATTTTGGCTATCACTAACTTTTCAAAAAGCGACCCTGATGTCCGGGGGCGAATTAAGCTTCACCAATGCGCTTTCAAATAGTGAAGCAAAAAATATACTTTTCGTCATCCAAACAATGTTTCTAAGCCTAACGTTATTGAAGGTGACAATAACGCCACCCAATGACATATATGCGAACTAAAAGACCATATCGAGATGTACTCTGCACCAGATGACGAGTCTGGCCATTTTAAGTATAAATTTAGGTAAGCAAAGGCCGTGCAAGATCAGGTCCAGGCCAAATTTATGTGTCTTCCGTTTAGAAACGTTTAATTAATTCTTCGTTATTGACAGGGCGACCTTTCCGCGTTCCAACGCGCCACATATAGAACCGTAGGTTAACAACCACATGCTTTTTTGTAGCATGTATGTCGCGCACCTAATGCGTTTCAAATCTTATATTTCAGTTGTTCAACACCAAAATATCGCGGATGAAACAAAAACCATCCCAAAACACCACGTCAGTGCACATGCAGACACCGAGCCTCATCCCCAACAGCCTGTGCGGGCCACACTGATCTACAATCCTCCGACACGCTCACACAGCAGAGGGATGTCACCAAAAGGCAAGTTCTCCAGCAGCCCTCTTATGCTGATTTCGAAAGTCACCTCAGCAACACAACTTTCAGTGGCCTCACCGGTGACCATGACCGTTCATCACTCTAACCTCTCTGTTTTCGCGATATTTCGACAGTTTATGCACTCTGCTTGTTTTCCGGTCCACCGGGCAGGATCTGTGGTATCTCAGTGTCCCTATGACGTCACTGCGCTGGCGAGGCGGCCGCTGAGGTTCGCCGCCGCCTTTGCAATATCTGCCCTTGAAACGTGAATGGATGCGATCGCGGATACAACCTTTTCATTCAAAACGTGCACACGTCCTCGGGAGTGAAAAGCTGTTCTGCTAAGGTGCGCCGGAGGCTTTCACGGCAAATGGCGCGTCTTTTCGTTCGACCGATCCCATCGCGCGCGTTCGACCGATCCCATCGCGCGCGTTCCACCGATCCCATCGCGCGCGTTCCACCGATCCCATCGCGCGCGTTCCACCGATCCCATCGCGCGCGTTCCACCGATCCCATCGCGCGCGTTCCACCGATCCCATCGCGCGCGCCTTCCCGTGAGAAGTTGCGGAAGAGTTCCACTCGCATCTCACACAGGGGAACTCATCGCTGTGACTGCACACACTCACAAAGTTGGGTCTCTTTTTTGTTCTGGGATCCGCTCCCGTCGCTGAAGTAGAAGGCTTTGTTCAGCTCGGTCGCCTGGTTCTTCAGCCCTGTCGCCTGGTTCTTCAGCCCTGCCGCCTGGTTCCTGACTGCTGGCACCCAGTGAGGCAGAAACGCGTGCGCCGTATTGACACTTTGCTTGGTGCAGGCTGATATGATACAGAAGCTTTTAAGACATCTTGGGTTACTCCTGATACTGAGGATGGTGCTGCTCGCCGTCCTTGATCCCAGGACACTATAACGGCTGCACTGCGCACTGATTCGTGTCCCAGCGGAAGCCCTGAACGGCGTCTTGCACTTTGTCTTGTGTGGGAAGTGCCCAGTAGGACAAGGGTTAAAAATCGTAACATACCTTACCAGGTCGTCACCGAATTTTTGACGTCTTTCGAGGCGTTGCTTGGTGTCGAAACGTCGATGTGCGTGGTTTGTGACAGCTTTCTCTTGACAACGGCGCGCCCTTGCACAGCTCGTCAGTGCCAACGGAGCGCTTCCGATTGGTTGTCAGCCGCTCTACACGTGTCCATCCTCAGAGATGTTCAAATCCACCACACTAGTGTCCAGTGCACGCATGAATTCAGACGCGGTGTCGTTGCCCGCTTACCACCCTGGTGCATATCTCAATTTTTATCAGAAGCCTCGAAATTTTCCCATGGTAACCACATATGACAAATCCCTACATCTTGCATGACTGTAC